ATCTAGCGTGCCTGGTGGCGTGTATACGATGTGTGTGCGCGTGTTTGTCTTAATCTAATAATCGTACTCCTGCTGGATCAGCTGATATCGCGTGAGAATGTCGAAAGTACTCTTCGGTGATGACCCTTAAATTCAGTGTTCCGCAGCTGTAAATTCTCTGAATATTCGGTCGAAGTTTTACCTCTACGTATTCATCGGCGACTCGTCAAAGAATCGCACCACATCCTCTATGTTTACTTAGTATGCCAGCGATGGTGTCTTAGGTAATCGGCCTCAATGATGTCATGGGTCGTACCTTTTCATCCGTGTCGATCAACAGTGGTAGATCTGACAGGCTTAATCCATTCTGTTTGCAGGTATGTAAGCCCGAATACCAAATTCCCAAAAATCACTTCCATGTCTCGTTGAACGACACTGAGCCAGATTTCGCGTTTAACGCCGCTTGGTAAACAGCGCCACGGAGCCGTCGAAATGGGCGCCGAAGAACGCGTCCAAACCACCTCATTCGTCTTTTTTGGGCCGCGTGGTATATCTTTGCGGTGTTTCTGCAGCGAATGCGGACTGTCCCATTGTAGGAAAAGTCAGTACACTTCGCTCGAAGGATGGTTCTCAACTAGTGATGGTCAAATACCTTCAGTTTTTTTGCTCATCTTGTCCGAAATTGTCAACTTTATAGAAGGATGCACGGTAAGCGCAAATCTTCGTCGTCGCATCGGGTCCGCAGACACTGTTTACGGCTCGATTGATTCAGGAGACAATTTCGCCCAGTCGGTAGCAATCACTGTAGGAGGCTACAAAATATCACACAGCAACAAGTCTTCCCACTAGCGGTTGCTCCCTGTTAGAGAACTGGCTATTTCGTCCCTCAACGCGTCGCTTGGCTAATCGGGCTACTGCTGATGGCCATATAGGACATCCTGACGCAGCCAAAGCAGTTAGTGATAAGCCGAAAACTTCTTATGGTACACTGTCACCTGCGAAGAAGGGTGGTAGCCAGAGACGCCGTTCACTTGCAGCCTAGATCTGACTAACTTGGTCAACCTGCACAGTTTCAAGCTAATGAAGAACGTTAGGGACATATTGACTTGGTCATGATACCGACAATTAGATCGTCGCGAGCGGCCACTTTCACCGCGTGAACCGCGGAGCGGGCAAAGCCATGGTAGCGAAATTTTCCACCACCACACGGGAATATAGACACCTCCACTAACAATACAGGCGTTCTTGCGCTTAAATTATATGACAGTACATAGTGCCGTATCCTAAATGTAACCATACTAGTAACGCTATGCTTAACTTTACAGCGTTAGGGATTTTCAGTTTCAGCAATTTGCGAGACCAAGTTTTTGCTTATTCATATCATGGGCACGTTTTCCCTTTCTCTTCATCTCCTAAACTCCTGACGAACGGATACGTGCCTCCACTTTGTCCTTACTCCTTTGAACTAGTTGTGTCATTTAAGTAGGTTTATGTTAACCCTCTTTTCTTTCACGCAGCCTCGTCAAGCTTCCGTCGGGTGTTAGCATTAGGGTAAGACTGAAGGCTAGGGTTAGAGGTTAGATTTGGGGCTTGGGTTAGGGTTAGTGGTTGAGGTTAGGGTGGAAGATTAGAGATTGAGAGTCAGGGTTAGGCCTTATACACAGATTTAAGGTTGGGATTTAAGCTAGTACCCTTGTCGTCTGCAATTATATTTTAGCTCAGAGCCAGCACGAGGGTCGGTTTTAACAATATATTCTTCACTTTTTCTCCGTCAGTG